TTCCTCATGGCAATATATGTATATACACATATTTTCCTAATTTAGTGGGATGTTACAAAATGTCTCATTTTTAAAATTAAATATTTATTTTCCATTGGAACATGAATTGGTTCCATAATCTAATTCAATTCCATCCTAGCCTATACAAGAGCATCATTTTGAAATAAATGTCCTACACCTTCCTAATCGTACTTTAAATAAGGTTCTAGTTAGACGGGATGTTACACATATGTTATGCATTAATTTTAGTGGATGTATTTTGGGTTAGCAAGTTGTATTGGGTTTATGATAGGGTTTAGGCAGCCCATTTTGGATGATGCATTTATTTTGGTACAATTAGGACCTTTACCTACATTGCATTGATCTTTTTGTACTTGGATGTTCAATATTTGAATGAATATAATTGGCCTTTTTCGCACATTCAGACTTGTTGGTTCTATGCATTAATATGAGTCTTTGAAATCGTAATTATTGTCATATGTAATTTGGAATAAGATTAGTGCACATCGTGCTTCCGGCATCCCATATCTACGAAATCAATCCACCACCAGGTCATATTGTATGTTGGTATTAGACAACAATAAAAAAAATGCACAAAAAATGGGTGGACCAGCAGCTGCTGCTGCATAACCAACTGGTCTACCCGGGTAACACATACTGGTGTACCCAGGTAGGGTGTACCCGGGTATATCATTACAAGTTACCCGGGTAGACCAGTTGGTTATGCAGCAGCAGCAGTTGGTCCATCCATTTTTTTGCATTTTTTGATTGTTGTCTAATACTCAAACCTTAACTGACTCGGGGAGGGGGTAAAAGGGTATGGTATACATTCAGATTGTGTAATACGAAACGAGTTGAATGCTTAACATAACGGTTGTCAACAATGTATGTTATGCAACACAATACATAACTAATACAAGATAGGGTTTAGGGTACCATAAACAAAACACAACAATACATTTCAACAAATGCAACACAATACGTAAACCGTATGTCATTACAAAATAAAGTACTACACAGAAACAATAAATAATCATGCTTGTCTTAGTCTCAATGGACATGTACGAATGTTATGTCCAACTTGCTTGCAATGCTTGCATCTGCTCTGACTGCTCGAAGGTTGAGACTCAACCCAATCCATCTCATTCTGAATCCTTGAAGACTTTGGTCTTCCTTTTGCACATACCAACCGTGCATCCGAAATTACAGTAGGCCCAAAAACGGATGGAATCAACAATTCATTGCCAATAGGGTATCAGTGTGCAGCATATACTTTAGCAATGGTTGGGATTTTAAAAATAGGATCCACATAATCATAATGGTTTAACTTGGCTGCCTTGCAAACTGCTAATACATGGCTGCAGGGATACCTACTTGCTGTAAACCTACCACACTGACATTTACGATTGATTAAACCCACTCTCATGGTGTCACCAACCTCGTGTGTAGATTGATTGTAGGCATCCTCAACCTCAAACAATAACAGCTCACTATCATATATCCTCACACGATAAGTGCCGGCCAATTCATCATTTTTTTGCAAAGCTGCCTCAACCTTCTTTGAAATTATCCAACCTTGTGAGATATCTTTTTCAATCGCTTCACGTCTCTTGACGAAATACTCAACGAGTCTACTAAATGTCATCTTGACCAATGCAGTTATCGGCAGATTACGTGCTCCACGAAGCACCTTATTCACACACTCAGATAGGTTGGTTGTCATATAACCAAACCTACGTCCTGCCTCATCATACGACCTGCAGCATTGTTCTTTCGGAATCACATCCAACCATGAAGCAACTTCATGATTGTTGTCGATAAATTCCTTGTATCGAATGTCAAAATTTATCTTTGAACATGCGTACCCTGTAAAACAATCATCATATATGCAATTGGTTAGTTATGATGTTATAATGTATATGTGAGTAATTAAACTGCTAATACATTACCTAATTTCATCAACGTTTTCTTCAATTCCACATTCCTAAAGCGGGTATTGAAGTTGCTTCCGATGTGACGTAGACAAAATACATTATAAGCATATGGAGGCTGCCACCCAGCGTGATCTTTCACCGCACTTATGATGGTCCAATGACGATCGGATATTAGACAAATACCTTGCCTATGTGTGACATGAAAACGTAAAAGGCTAAGAAACCAGGACCAATCATCCAACCTCTCACCTGGAGGAACAACAACAAAGGCAATAGGGAGCAGATATCCATCTCCATCCTGAGATGTTGCAATCAAGAGAGTTCCTATGTACTTCCCATACAGATGAGTGCCGTCAATTTGAATTATAGGCTTGCAGTATTTGAATGCTTCAATGCATTGGTGAAATGTCCAAAAAACCCTGTGAAATATGGCCCTGTCTGTATATACCCGACGTTCGTCAAAACATTGATTTGTATCAAGCTTGAACACAGAACTCACATTCACCTGCGTCATATACGTCAGCCAATTGTGCATGAATCCATACGATTTCTCCCAGTCACCATACAACTTAACAATGGCCTTCATTTTTGCCTTCCAAGCCTTCCTGTACATTATGTTGTATCCATATATTCTCTGTATTCTCTCTTGTATCAGAACTGGTTTTGTAGATGGATCTTCCTTTAACATATCTGGAAAAAAAAATAACTTTACCATATTCTCAAAAAGAAGCTTCATTAATTACACGGTAGAATACATACTCATTATAGCCGCACAAATGACATCTGAATCCAACTGTCTATGATCCTGTGATAGGCCTTGATTCAGGCATGTGTGATCTTGACCCCATTTACGGACCACCCAATTAGCTCCTTTCTTCAGCTTAATTGCCCTCATATACCAGGGACAACCGTCAGCATGGTTTTTACACTTCATAACAAATCTTGACTCGTCGCTTTTTTCAACTATGGTTGTCTTGCGCCCCTTCATACAATGTATCTTCACAGCATGTTGCATTTCAGGTTTGGAGCCAAATTCTTGTTGCACAAATAATGGATCTCCTAACTTCCAACCTCCGTGCAAGTCATCATCCCCATATAGGATCTCCAACTCGTCATTAGGGTGCGCCCAATTAATGAAGGAATAATGTTGGCTTTCATTCCAGAAAGGCTCCACCGCAGTCCTTGCACCTAAAGATCAACTCTCATTTGTCTGAATGAATACCACCATAAATAATAAATTGTCCAAAGCAAATGTCCAAATTTAATAACTTACCACTACTGACTGGGTCAACATGAAGTGGTGACAAGGCTGGGGTACCCAGACTTACCGCCCTCGTGTCAACGTCAAAATTTCCATCCACGTCAGTGTCCGACGAATCACCTTGTGGAATAGCACTTTTAGGTTCTCCCTCATCTTTGTTGTCCACATACTCCTCATCTTCATCCTCTTCATCCTCATCCAATGCTACATAAGGAGGTGCGGAAGATCGTACAGCTGTATCTTCTTGACCAGTACAGTGTGCAGTAGTGGTTGTATGCACCGGTAAAGATGAAGACTGACCAGCATCAACTTCAACATATACCTCAATATATTTTAATACTTTTCATCCAACAAACGCAACTGTTACGAACTCCACACCTTCATCATCATTGATATCGTTACCAATGTAGTATATTGTATCCATATCCACTACAGTCTCTAACCTGGCTATCATGCGATGGATGGATTGTATGCCTTCTAACCCCATTTTTTGGAGAATTCTCTCCTTCAATTCATTGCATGTAGTGTCCAGTTTGATTTTCATCATTTTTGTTTTTCCTTCAAATCAAACACCGTTCGGACCTTCAAAATGCTTTCCATTGTAGTAAATAACTATAGAAACCATGTTTGGACTTGAACTCATCTTTCACACGAAAATTAGATCTAGGTTTTGGGTTTGGAGGTTGGTTCGGATTTTTGAGCACAAAATAGGAGTGTGGAGGTGTAATCTCAATGTCCACCCAAAATTAAGCTTTCTGAAATGATGAGATGAAATATATGTGTAATGTTTTGGAATAGAGAGGTCAAGGGAGAGAGATTTGGGGGGCAAAAAACCTAAACCTCGCAACAATAGCCGAAACCCATTGATATTGGGGTTTCTGGTCGAGATATACCCGGGTACACTCCTCCCTACCCGGGTAAATAATTCAAGCAATTTCCCAGGTGCCAAGAAAAATACTCGGGTACACCCCTCCCTACCCGGGTAGGCACAAAATTTTAAAAAATACTCGGGTAGGGTGGGGTGTACCCGGGTAAGCTTGGTGGTCAACGGTCAAATAAGGACAGATTGATGTTATATTTTTTGAGAGGGTTAAATTTTAGAAATAGTTTATAATGAAGGTCAATTTGGTAATTAATTATTAATAAAGAGTTATAAGGGTCAAAAAGCCCCAAAAAAAAAGACATGTGACTTTGAACTCAAACTAAAATATTATTCTTTTTCAGTAATTTTTGATATGATTATTTTCTAGTAAGTTAGAAATTAGTATGAGTGTAAAATTTTGTAATATTAAAAAATGAATAGATAATTACTAAAAAAATAAAGTAAAAGTGGAATCTATAAAAATGCTGGAGCATAAATATTTCCCATAAGATTAAAAAGGTAAAGGGTAATTACACTTACCTACCTTAAGATTTGTGCATATTACGTTAACGCTTTTCTTATTTAAAAATAATAATAATAATAAATATACATTTCTTATTTTATGTACAGTTCTTTCACTTTGACACTTATTCTCAGGAAGTTACATAAATCTACCAACTTCATATATGGACCCTACACAAGGTACCCTAAAAAATAAAAGAAAGTTAGTTTAATTTTTTCAAACGAAACGACACTGGAATTATCGCTAATTTCAGGGAAGATAATTGTAAATATAATGAAAATTCTCAGATATCTGAAGTCAAATGCCAGCACATCAATCACCTTATTCGTATGATTATGTCTCCCTTTTATGCAACACATTCATATTTTCCGTATGAAACTTGTAATAATCCCTGTAATCTTTGCTTTTGATAATGTTGAGATGAGAAATATAAGGTTTCATATATCAGAAACCTGTCACAGCAGCTATAGCATTTGAGATTGTTTGCTTCTCAGTAATTAGTAATCATTTGAATGAGTGCACAACGATTCTCCCCCTTTCCAAATTGATTCCCCATTCCATATTGCCACAATTACACCCATACACTCAAAACGAGTGAGGCTATATTCCTTTCCATTTTCTCAGTAATAGAATAACAGTTTCTACTTCCTAGTCCTAAATAATAGTCATCCAAACAAGGAAATAATAGAGCTTAAAAAAAATTAAGTGGCTTTTATACCAGAAAAATATCAAGCGACTGGTGCAAGCTGCATTAATAGATTCTCAAGAATCTCACTACGGTTGCAGATTTTGAATAGTCTTCTGTGCAGAAGAAGAATAATGAGATTCAAGTTCTTTCAGGCTAGCAGCAGCTTCTTCTCCAATTCTAGATAATAGGCGGTCTGTTTTTTCTCCAAGTTGGTTAAATTCAACCTTTCTTTGCTCTACATGGTCATTAAGAGAAGCAAATCCTGAAAAGATAGCTGTCTGCTTCAGCTCTGACACCAACTTAAGTAGAGAATCTGCTGCCTGGACCTGTTTTATTGATCAATATACAAATATGGGGAAAAGAAAATGATCTCAGTAGCCCTTAAAGGCAAACACTAAACCTGTCAAATTGAGCATACTAAACAAGGCTTGTATAAAACAAAGGAGAGATACTATTGTTACTTTTGAAAGAAATAATTTAGTATGAATGAAAGACAAAAACATATAATTTTAATTGAATTATATCTACAAGTATTGATTAAGATACACCACATAAAAGAACTAATTGCAAAGTGTAAAATTTCTAGTGTAGTCAGACACAACACACCACTCCTATAGGAGGTAAGGTACTGACAAGCAAACTTCTCTCCATACTGACACCAAACAACTGAAAATGTCATAACGTATAGTATAAACTTATACTATCATGTCTTATACGTCACACCAAACAAACCCTTATAAAACTCAAATAAAAGACATGATGTCTTTGCAGGCATGCTTGCTTAGAAGCATAAGAATCAACACAACTGCATTCTTACCATTCTAGCAGCACGCATCTCCATCATAAAAGCTTCCTGTGAATTTCTAACCGGTGGATCATTTACCTGAAAATATGCACAGTTGTATGAATTGAGCAAATAAATTATGCACATACAGAAAATTGAATACATTCCAACTATTACTAGTGTTTGATAACACACAATTAGTCAATTGGATGAGGCTACATTCACCATTTTCTTGGAGTTACAAAAACTAACAAGAAGAAGTTATTCACAAAAAGTAAAAGAGATACATCTTTATCTATTGATGTGGGATCCCTGAACATAAAGAGACATGACGACAAAAAATTGTGACTCATTTCCATTGATACACTTGGGCAATTTTATTCTCTTAAACTAAATATTGACAATGAAACATACACTGTTTTCTATTTCCAAGATATAAACAACAAAGAGAAGAAATCTGACATTAACATTCTCAAAAAAATCATGTTTATCTTTATCCCTAAACCCCATCCAAACCTCCTAGTGGAACTGCTAATGGCAGGTATCTATAAAGGATACACTCAACATATTCTCAATGCAAATGGCATTGCCCAATAAAGATAGTTTCTTTCATACGTGCCTCTTCCATTACGAAGTCTTGGTCCTTTCTGTCTGGCACAAAAACAAGCCAGCTTCTCTAATAAGGAGAAAGGTTCGGAGGGTATATCCCAGGAGGGATAAACAGTAAGGGGCAGTAGGTTAGTTAGTTAACACAAATGGTTACAGCAATAGTTAGTTAGGAGTTAAAGCTTAAATACCATGAGTTTTACGTAATAGAGCAAATTGAAATGATAGTTTGTTAACTTAGGGTTTGTGACGGAGATTATCTCCTTGTACATTCTCTCTCTCTTTTCATAACTGGATAACATAATTCTCCTTTCCCATAATCCCATCTTTGTGGTTTCTTTACCATTCTCCAACAATTCTAGACTATTTTCATTCGGTTCCTATCACTTTCATTGTGCCTAAACTGCCTTCTCATTGTTTAGGCATCTCAATGAATAAGACAACAGTGACCAAACACATTTAATTTGATTTTCACCTAAATCAGTTCTATAAGACAAATCATGTAGCTCATCCTTAGTGTCCTCTATCACTCTTCTCTTCACTCTAACCCATTGCAAGTTCTATATGTCATGTGACATATACAATTGAAAGCTCAGAGTTAACCTATATTCCTTCAAGAACAAAATATAATTTGTTTTACAAGTTAATACAAAGTTGCATTGCATGCATGTAGTGTAGGAACCAAATTATCAAACTATAATTATAAGAAGATCAAGCCAGACAGCAAATTATGACTTCCAAATGGCACTCAAATTGTACAGTGTTCAAAAGTCCATCATTGGATTTGGGTAAAAAATAAAACAAATTCCAATCCCAAAAGCTGACGCATCAAACCAAAGATTAATTAGATATCATTAACCAAATAATGTCAGACTTCATATTTGCTTCCGTGCAATCAAAACGCCAATCTCCAAGATGCAATTACACAAGATACCAGGATTGTCATTTATTAAAACAATCAAATCCATAAGGTATCAAAATGGGAATGAAAAATTACAAAGACCATCATTTGGAAAAACCATATTCCCATAATTAACATGAATTAAATTTTGGATTAATTGAATGCCAGTAACCATCAAGAAAGAATGGATACGACATGGGACAATGACTTAACATGAAACGGACACGGAAATACGACAAGTTTTAAAAGCTATAGGACATGACACAACTATAGTACAACATATAAAATTAGTATAAAATTAACATAAAAACACAAATCTTAAATCAAAAGAAAGAATCGATGTTTTAAAAGTTAGCATGAGCAATTGCAGACATAACAAAATGCTATCACTTGTCAAATTATTGTGCTATTCTCATCCATATTATTGGTATAAAAGCAAACCCTTGTGCACAACGCTCCCTAACTTTGCAAAGGAAGGTGCAAGGGTCAATTGTGCATTTTCATAAATAGACTGTTTCCTCGACTCGAACTGGTGATCTTCAAGTCGGAACAATTTCATCACTGCTCCAAGCTTGTCCACAAAGGGAAAACCCATATTATTGGAATACAAGTTCAAAATTACAAAAGTAAAAAAAAAAAAATGTTAAATGCAGCAAGGAGTATGGGTATGGCAAATATTTTGAAGAGGAACTTGACACAAAGTTGGTGTTGTGGCCACCTGACCCAAATGTAGCAAGTTTGATGAATCACATAATCATCTCATTGCAAATGCAAGATAAAGCTGCCTACTATAAACCAACACAATGGATGTCACCCTTTCCTGAATCCTAGAACTTCATAGCACCAAGGCTACCCTTTTTGTGCTTCCATGTTAACCATATAGAGTGAGAGACAAAGTTCATAGTTTCTTCAATTTGAAAATGACAATTACAAAATATACGTGGCAATGGGTTATCACTTATCAGAACAACAAAATCCAAAGGTATGAAAATGCACGAGGGAATTAAATATACCCTACCCTGGCAACATTGACGAGGTGGCTGAAATTGTCTACAATATTTGCGATATCACCTTCCACTTTAACCAACAGCGTTTTCTGCTTCTGAGCAGCCGCCGCAGCCGCCGCCGCAGTAGGCCCGCTTCCACCACCACCACCACCTAACCCTCCTCCTCCTCCAACTGCTCCACTTTTATTCATTCTCCTTCTCCAATCTCAACCACACACCCGTTCAAAAGATTGAACAACAAACTTTCAAGCTTTCTTTCAATTTCCTTCCACTTTACACTGATTGTCAATTATTCTGATAACCCGAAAAAAAAAGTAAGAGAAAAAAAAAATCTTAATTAGAGAAACGCTCCGTGACGAAGAAGACACTCGAGATCTGAACCCGATAATGAAACTAAAGCCAAGCAAGGTGAGAGACTCACCGGTGACCGCCGTGGAGAGCGGCGGCGTCGGGTGGCTGTCTCAGACTCTCCGACTTCCCAGCTGCTTCCGGCGCTATCTTGTGAGAATATAAGAATAAGTTTTTTAAATTTTAAGTAAAAAAACGAAAAATGTTTCGAATTCCATTGCATTTGGAGATAAAATTATTTCCTCAATATAATTTAAAGAAAAATTGTGTGTAATTTTTAAGGAGGTAAAGTTATGTCATTTTAAGCGAGAGAAAGAGATAGATATAAGGGAGAGAGAGAGGACAAAGTAAAATAAAATGTGAGCCTCATCTCTTTGTGAGAGTGAAATAACATAAGTTGTGTCGTTTAACATAACAAACAATTTTTCAATAATTTAAAAAAGAAAAGTTATACTTATCATTTTTTGGAAGAGGTTATATTTTTAGGGTTATACAAGTAGGGATAGGTTATTCTACTTGCCATTTTTTTAGTCTAACTTTGCTTACTACCCTAAAACACTGTTAGATCATAATCTTAACTAACATTTATCTTTCTCTCTCCTTCTGAGATTCTGATCTAATGATATTGGAGGATAGTAGGCAAAAAATATGATAGGTAGAATAACCTATCACATACAAGTATTATGTTATAGGAATCCTCAATATTTCCAGCGAGACAAAAGTGAAGAGAGACAAACTGATAGAAGAAAAGAGAAAAGAAAAATTGTGGACCCCACATTTTCATTGTCTGGGCAAGGAAGTAACTTTTTTTTTCCTGTTGCATAATATTCATATGGGATGGGTTATTCTATCTATCATTTTTTCTGCTTACCTTTGCCTACCACCTTTCAACACTGTTAGATCAGAATCCCAACTACATTTTTTATTGAGTAAATACCATTTTTCGTCCCTGACAATTTTCACGAAGTCTATTTTAGTCCCCAACAATAAAAAAGACTCATTTTAGTCCTTAATTTTACAAAAATAGGGTCATGTTTGTTCTTCCGTTAGTTGGCATCCAACGGCCCAACTAACGGAGCACACGTGGAATGTTAGTTTGCTGAGTCACCGTTAAGTATTCCAGTGTGGAAGTGATACGACGTCGTTTTGAATATGCCCTTATGTCTTCTTGGAGTTTTGGACAGCTGACCCTAGCATCGAAGGTCATATTTGCTCTCTAACAAATTTATCAAAGCCTTATTTAGTCCTTAACACTAAAAAAAATGGACATGAACACCTCTGCATCATCACCTCCAGCAGCTCGGGCAGAATCCCCTTTTTGTTCTTCAGCTGTTAAAAAAACGTGTACTTAAAGAACCACGGAATTAACACATGCTGAAGATAGGTTGGAAGGCCCACACAAATAACAAAAAATGCAAAGGAAGACCTGAGATAAGTTTGAGACGAGAGCAACAATTGCAAAATGGAGGTACAGTAGATAGTAAACCATGATAAAAATGTGTTGATAGTAACCAAACAGAACACTTGATTGTTTGCTATATTATTATTGATGTACACAGCATGCCCCTTACTTGACGTTGATCTTTCATACAATAGAATACTTTTTTTTTCAAAACATTGCTTAGCATGTATTTCCTCTAAAGAAGCTTTCTTGTTAACTTAGAATAAGAGAGCAAATACAACTGGCGCAAAAATTTCTGAGCACAAGAAGCATAACTAGATCAAAGATTACTTGTACGATGACACGCACAATTGTATAAATAAACCTCCAATACAAACTTGATAGAAGAAAATAAAGAACGGAGGCAAATATTATTTTAATAAAAGACAAAAGTAATGAAATACATTTTCACCAAAACAACAAGTAATTAAGTACCTGAAAAATGGAAAAACTAAGCTAATTCTAATTCAAAAATAAACTCTAAAGACAAATTACAGAACCACCAATGAGCCAAGCCAGCGACCAAGTTCATGAGGATCATCTATCTATAAAATTCTAATCAAATTCCAGTTACATATACAAACCCCAACCGTCAACTTAAAAATTCAGCAACTTAATCCTAATAAGTTAATAGAGTCACATATTTCCCATTGATAATTATCAGTAACATTTGTATCAGATAATTTTGATAAGTAGAAGAAAGCAAAAATATAAAATATGAAGCAACGAGGATCAGATACCATTAAGTTGGTTCTTGGTTCCACAGATTTACTTAACTCAGATTAAAAGAGCTATGAAGAAATTAGTTTTGGTAAAGCTCAACAATGAGATCAAATTCTAACTCAGCTTTATCTCTTCCACGGAGAAATGAATCACTAACAGCTTGATCTGATTTCTTAGAACTTCTAGCAGGCTGTTTTGATTCTTTATTTCAACTAAAAGTTAGGCTGCAGCTTTTCTTCAAGACTATGAAATTTTGACCATCAACATGGAATTATGTTAAAATTTTGACATTTCATGGAACAAAATAAAGATAAAGTTCTGTAAGCCTGATTACTATCTCTTCCTTTTGGAACTTGTTCTGATACTAAATATAACTATATAAAGTCAGTAGGAAAACTTATTCTACTAACAATTTCACAGAGACAGAAAAGACCAATCTGAAAGTAGTTTGTTATCAACACAAACTCCTGTCTAAATAAACAAAACATCAAAAGAAAGGCTCTACTAGTCACAGTAGTCACAGATGAACAATTATATAAATCACCATAATGTCAACTATATCTGAAGGATATTCTATCAAATCAAAATAAAACATTTCATATATTTCATTTCCATTGCAGATCAGATTACCAAGTTTACAGAACAACGTTAATTTATACCTCCATCTTCAGGGATGTTAGAAGTCCACAAGGTGAGGTTATCCCTCATAAGCTGCATAATGAGTGTGCTGTCTTTGTAAGATTCCTCACTCAGGAGTATCCAACTCAAGATTGCTACATCAAATGCCTGCTTGGCAAGGTGACAACCCCTGAAACACAAGTTCCATGTGAAATTTGTTAAAAAGACTAACTTAGGTACTTAGCATTAGAACATGATAACGGCAAGGGAGTGTGATATATTTCCAGGAAGAAGATAAGATTAGGTATACCCCTCAAACACAAGTTCCATGTTGATTGATAGATTACAAAGTTCTAGAAGCATTGAGGTTCCACTAAGTTGCAATCATACATTTAAAATAGGGCCATTGGATTGCTGCAGTGGTGGTTTGAAAGGTTTGTGGTTTGCTGCAATATGCCTTGCAACTTCTGTGCTCATGTCCATTTTTTTAGTGTTAAGGACCAAATAAGGCCTCGATAAATTTGTCAGGGACCAAATAGAGCCTTCAATGCTAGGGTCAACTGTCCAAAACTCCAAGAAAACATAAGGCATGTTCAAAACAGCGTCGTATTACTTCCACGCTGGCATACTTAATGGTGACTCGGCAAACTAACGTTTCACGTGTGCTCCGTTAGTTGGGTCGTTGGATGCCAACTAACAGAAGGACAAACGTGGCCCTATTTTTGTAAAATTAAGGACCAAAATGAGCATTTTTAATTGTTGAGGACCAAAAGGGACTTCGTGAAAATTGTCAGGGACGAAAAAGGGTATTTACTCTTTTTTATTTCTCTCTCCTATTGAGATTCTGATCTAACGATATTAATAAGTGATAAGCAAAGATATGTAGAAAATATAGTAGGTAGAATAACCTATCTCTATTTATATTACACATGTTTTTATTTTATTTTTTTAAACAAAAGAGGTTATATTTTAATTAGTGGTAATTATAACCTTCCCCAATTAAAAATTGATAGAGATATAAAAAAATATAATATATTATAATAAAATATATATATATAACATTAGCCGAAAACTATTATTTTTAAAATAAATTTAATACGTCAATTTTATAAAATTCTAATTATACATTTGAATAATAAAATAGGATATTAGCTTGATATGCTAAATTATTTTATTTTATTTTATTTTGGTAAACACTAAATTATTTTATTTACTTTTATATGATATTTACATTAAAATTAAATGTAGAGTTAATATATATATATATATATATGTGTGTGTATACACTTAAAATTGCATTTATAATATACATAGAAAATGCATTTATATAAAAATTAAGCGCTTATCTAATCTCATATTGAATGAGAGAAAAAAAAAATATTTCATAGACACATAGTAGTGGAGTCCATCACCTAACTTATTACACAAGAATAATTTTTTCCAAAATTTAAATAGTATAAAAGAGGTAAACTTGTATTAAAGACATAAATAGTTCTCATGTTAGTGGAAAGTTATCTTCTCGTGTCACTCTCAGTTCAAAATTCGTGCCTATTATTTATTTTTCTTCGCCTCACCACAACTTTGCGCCTAATGCATGTTTCAAACTTCTCCCATAGGTGAAGTTGAAACCCCTATATTAAAATATTGATTTCCGGTAATCTATAAGTTATCAAAATTTGAATCCATTAATTTGGAATGTTAAAAAAAATATTATTTGCATAATAATTATTAATTAAAACCAATGTTATTAGAATCGAATCGGTCATTGACCTGGCTGAGGTACCGGGTCACTGGGTCAATGGTTCAACCGGTGGATCACTGATTAAACCGCATGAACCGGATATATATATATATATATATATATATATATATATATATATATATATATATAAATTTATATTTTATACTTAATTATATAATAAATATTTTAAATGGTGCCATCTCAGCAATAACCTAATGTAGTCTAATGATATTTACTGTGTTGTATATCCTCAATGCTAGGGGTTCGAATCCCATCAGATGCAATTTTTGAAATAATTCTGTTAACTTAATAGTTATATAATAAATATATTAAATGGTGCATTTTATTCAACAAGTGATGGTAGCCTAGTGGTATGAAGTGGCGCTCCTCACTCCAGTGTGCTGGGTTCGATTTCCACCTATTGCGAAAAATGAAATATTTTGTAACTAAAAAATCCGGTTTAAAGAGAAAATCGGTACCAGAGATTTTCTGGGAATCAAACCAATCCCCTTTGGAGTGAGGAGCACAGCGCCACCTCTTACCACTACGTTACCCTCATTTTTTGGCTTACTGCAGATAATTTATATGCAGTAAAATTAATTGGCACTGAAAATGAATTTGTGCGGCACAGAAAACAAACGTAGGATAGTATGAGAGAAAAAAAGTAGAGACAAATTAAATGTGGG